TTTGCATATGTCTGAATTTGACCATGTTCTTACCCTTTCTTTTTGTGAATTTTTTGCTAATCTCAGTAATTTGGGCTTTAAATCCTTGCCTAGTTCATTTATAGGACTCCAACCATCTATCCAACCTTGCCCTCCCTGCGGAGGCCTTTGTTGCCCTCCAGCTGGTGGGGCAGTGGGTGGTGCTTCCTCAGTTTCCCTCTTACTGATTTTTTCTCCATGGCTCCAAAAGTTGGAAGAGTGTGTTGTCCACAATGATCTACAATCTTTCAGTCAACCTGCTCTCTTTGCCCTATTCAACTATATCATTCCCTTGTGTCAAGTATCAGGAATAAACTGCCCAGATACTAGGCTGAAACTATCAAAGCAAAAGTAGCCACAGTCTTGGTGAAAGAAGCATTTCCAGGCTGAGTCAAATGTTCACCTCTGTGTACCAAAGGGTGGGTTCTTGTCTTCTGTGAATTTGAGGCAGTATTTGCCTACCTGGGGACACTTGTGCAAATCAGATTCCTAGTAGGCTGTGTGAGTAGCTTGGAGCACCTGAGGTGGGTAAACAGAGAGGCCCTCACTGTCCCCTTCATATAAAATGAAGGTGGCAATGGGCCAGCTAGTTTGAATAGGTACTCATGTTGGCTCTTCTTAACATGTTCAACCCTAGCCTGGCCTAAACTTTCCTAGACTTTTAATACTTAAAATAGACCTTTCAGTTCTGTAGATTAGCTGCCTTTGAAGAAAGTGAGTTTCTGGTCTTGGGCTGCCTTGCATCAAGAAGAGCGTGTCTCTACACAGCACACTTGGTATTTAGGTCGGTGGCAAAATGTACACAGGGTCATTAATTAATTAAATATGATATTAAAGTCAGGGATGGGCCCAACCCTTTGAGTGTTTAGAAGGACTTCAAGGTGGGGATGAGCCAAGTTCTGACATGTTCAGGGCCAAGTCAGGTGAGTGAGTCACAAGGAAGCCCAAATGTGTTCTTCCAGACCACTGAGGTCTACTTAGGTTCTTTTCACCCAAGCACCTCAATGCAAAACACCTGGAACATGACCCCTCTCCTCAAACCACCTGCCTTCACACGCCACATGTGGGATGTGGTCCTGGTTGCTCACTCAGTCCTATTTTATCACTGGGAGAGGCTGGGGTGGAGGCAAAGCTGGTGGGTAGCCTTGAAACTGGACCAGTAGCCATGGTCCAGGGAACACCAGGGAGAAGGCAGACAGGGTGTGGGGTGTGCTCAGACTCTGGGTGCAAACTCCTTGTGACACCAACAGTCATGCTTCTCTGTAAAGAGAACAGGGGTCAGACAGTAAGTCTATTTTGAGGTATTCTCAAAGATGAATGGATTTATTGAGGGTATGACTTATTTTTAGCACTTTCTTTTGCATCATGATTATATTCTGGTGATATTTTGTTCATTTTGCCTACACTGAACAAAGAGTTGCTTTACATACACACTTTCCCCATTGGAGGCCTCAATTCTAGGCCTGAATATAGCTTTTGAGGCTGGTGTCTGACACTGGACTTGCCATAAAATCTGAGAAAGCACTTTCTGAGTAAGTAATCATCTCTAATTTACATAAATCATTCTGCTTTCTTAGGACATGAATCTGAACATGATTATTTCCACTGAATGTTTTCTTCTCAAGTTAGAATGAAGAATCTATAGGTCTTCATCAGGCTAGCTTGCTTTCTTGTTTGCCCTCTCCAAATCTATTCTCCACCCTTTCTTGTGTAGAAGGTTCTCGTGGTACTGCCAATCCCCCAGTGAGTGTGAAGGAGGAGGAGAGGAGATCTCCAAACTGTTTCCATCACCCATGTCTTAATTGCTTCATGCATCAAAGAAGGGACATTTTGATGAGTTTTATTTTTTCTTTAACACAATGTGGCTTTCTCAGTGACAAATGGTATGAGTTTTCTGGGGTTCTTTTTCTCCTGTATAAAATAAAGGGGGTACACTAGACATTTTCTAAGATCCTATTTACCTCTGATTTTGTGACTTGAGAAATGGCTGTGTACTAAAAGTGCCAGAGAAGGGTGGAGCCATCACGCATGTCATCCTGGTGACAGTGTGTGTGAAACAAAGAGTTGTGGATCAGGAACCCAAGTCATTGTGTAAACCACCAGTGGGACCTCCCTTAACCAGGCCAAAGCTCTGGTTAGCTGTGAAAGCTGTAAATGGGGACATGTTGATCAACTGAAGCAATATAGCAAAGTGCTTTCAAAATGTAGTCATACAAGAATCAAGGGCTGCTATGAGGGGAACAACAAAGCCTCCCTCAGAAATCATTTCTCAGCCTTTGGATTTCAGACGTCTAGTCAGCTTAAAATATTCTTACGTAAGTACACCTCCTCCCCCATCCAATTCCAGCAATTACAATGGAGTAAAAACAGCAAGACAATAGTAATTTTCTAATGGGAAAAGCCATGAATCTAAAATTAGCTAAAGAGAGCAACTGCTGAGAACGAAGGCTTGATTAGAAAGACATTCTGGAAATCAGCACTGACTTTGTAACACCAAATATAAGTTACAATTTTTTTTTTTAATATATCTTTATTGATTTCAGAGAGAGGAAAGGAGAGGGAGAGAGAGATAGAAACATCAAGTCACTGAGCACTCCCCCAACTGGAAATCGAACCCCGATTGCCTGGATCCTAGGCCGACGCTCAACTGCTGAGCCATGCCTGGCCNATAGAAACATCAAGTCACTGAGCACTCCCCCAACTGGAAATCGAACCCCGATTGCCTGGATTCTAGGCCGACGCTCAACTGCTGAGCCATGCCTGGCTGGGCTAAGTTAGAAATTTTTATATTTAAAAAGTATCAGCACCTGTTTTCCAGTAGATTCAGTGGAGAATACCCCAGGCTAAAGTCATGCCTGAGTCCAGTTCTAAGTGGCATGTGAGCGTAGAAAAATGGCTGAAACTCTAAGGTCAAGTTCTCCCAGTTATCATGTGGGTTAATAACAGATGTTCAAAGAGCTTTCAGTATTTCACTCCTAATAGGCAAATTAAAGACCATTTATTAAAAAAACATTTGTGAAAGTGCTTTAGGTATTTCAGATCGAAGTTGCCATATTGTAACTGAGGCACCACATCTGGTTTTCAATAACTGGTATGCCCTGGATCTTGTTTGAGAACAAATCTTATGTGTGTTGGGAAGGAGANAACAGAATAAAGTGACCTCGGCCTACCGTTTCTTGATTCCTGACCTAGCAACAGAGGACATCTGAGACAAGCCCATTCCTACTGCAGATAAAATGGAAGTACCTCTGAACACACCAGGCAAACCCAGCAGAACCAGCAGGGGAGGGTCAATTGGGAGTCCTGCAGGCTAGGGGAAGCACTCTCCTTTCCCACTGATCTTGTGACTCATCTCCCATCTAGAAACACCATGTGTCTAGGGGATATGGTAAGGTGGATCCCACCACAACAAGTATCCAGCCCAGGAAGCTCTCATCTCTCCTGCCAGGCCTGAGATTCTCTTATTTAACATGAAGACACCATGCAGTTGGGGAGCACCAACATAGGTATCATACCCTTCGTCAGCAGGGGAAACCCAGCACCATAAGTTCCTAGTGCAGGAAGCAATTTGACCCACAGACCCAAGAATACCTTCACCCATCTAAGGGACAAGGCAGCCGGGCTTTGGTAAGCTCTTTCAGATCCCTCATATAGCATCAGCAGGGACCAGGAGGAGCCCCAGCAGCATGAGATACACTACCAGACCAACACAGCACCATACAGTCTCTGAAAATTAGACCATAATTAAAAATCACAAAAGTAGATTAGGGCCTGTATCCTAAACAGGTTGCCTTCCTGTTAAAATAAAACATTTTTTTAAAATTTTTGTTCAAAATATTACAGATGTCTCCTTTTCTCCCCAATGACCCATTCCACCCCATCCCACTCCCCTCCCCAGTCCTCCTCCACACCATTGTCCATGCCCTTGGANCCACCATTGCCCTTGTCCTTGGATTGTGCATATATGCATATGAATTCTTTGGTTAATCTCTCCCCCTCCACCCACCTGCCCTCCTCCATATCTCTAAGATTCATCAGTCTGATCCATGCTTCCATGTCATTGAATCTATTCTGTTCAGTTTATTAAGTTCTTTAGATTCCACATGTAAGTGAGATCATATGTTTGTCTTTCTCTGCCTGGCTTATTTTGCTTAGCATAATAAGGTCCTTCCATACTGTCCCAAAGGTATGAGATCCTTCTTCTTTACAGCTGTGTAGCATTCCACTGTGTAAATGTACCACAGCTTTTTAATCCATTCATCTACTGAATCAGATTTTTTAAAAGCACAGCCTACCTGAGGTGCTATGTCCATTGAACACAGAGCTATACAGAAAGATTAGTGATAAGAGCACCAACCACTGATCCAGAACCTAAGAGAAAACCTTTAACTTTGGGGAATACTTCTATTTCCTTGGAAATTTCAAAATATAGGGTGTTAAAGAATAACCAGGAATCACAAACAAGCTAGAGTTTTTCAAGGTCCCTTTCAATGTCTATCATTTTACTATGAAAAATAGAATGAATTCATTGTATAGATGAAAATGACATTTATGCTATTCAAATATTTGTTTCTGTTGCAGAAGAAACAATTCAGGGAAAATGCTTTCTATTGAATCATCAACATCATTCCCTCCAAGAATAGAATAAAATTTAAAAATTGTTAGTGGGGTGATACATGCACACATGATCTTTTTATATCGCCTGATTTAACAAAGAAATGTGCTGGGGAAACTGCAAACCCGATTGAAAAGTCTGGTAATCTCTCTTTCTTGGATTTCAGCAGCACTTACTGTCTATATGAATCATTTGCATGAGTGAATTGTCTTATGTATCTTTGCATACATGCATTTCTTGTCCTTCCACTAGAAAGTGAGTTCCTGGAAGGCAGTTCCCTATGGCACTAAGCCCAGTGCCTTGTACATAACCTGGGAGCCCAAATCATTGACTGACATGTGCATTTGCATGGAAGAGCCTGGAGAGATACACTTAAAACCTTTATTCATTGATTTACAAAATGTACAATATTTACAAAATTTAGGCATTAATCCCATATTGACATGAATGCTGTGGGGAGTCTAAAAATAAATAAGTGGCACATAAGTTCATATACACTTCATGGCTCTTTGCACTTCAAGCCATCACCAGTGGTGGGATTTATCGGGAGGTGTAATGTGGTAGAAAAGTCAGATGGATGACCAGTCCTGGGTCCTCCACATTAACGACCCTTCCTTGGCTCCTTGAGGCTGGGATGGCAAGCAAATCACTTTCTTTTCAGAGAATAAAACACCAGCCATTCTGACCAGGCATACAGGGTGCACACAGCCACATTGTTCCCCCTGGGTAGCAGATGATGCCCTTGTGGACCTGCGCCCTGCACACCAGCCCGGGAGGCATTAGAGTGTTTATTTTCTCATTAAGAACCAACATTTGGACTTTGTCTCTTATTGAATTCTCATGCAGTACGTGAAAGGTGTCAGCGGAGAGTGACCATGCACAAAATGTATTTGTAGATATGTACAACATCCCATTTTCATTGTCTTATGGCATCTTTACGTGTAGAATCAACCTGTCTCCTCTTTTAGCAAGAGGAATGAATGAGGAAACCATCCCTTCACCCCCCAAAGGAAAAACATCTGGGAACACATGCAAATGGCACCCTGCAGAGGCAGGACTGGACAAACTCCGAGTGATAAAATGGCCAAATTCCCATGAAGTCAAGCCTGCAAATTTTCCTAGGGGTGGTAATTCTACCTCCCCTCCCTCTTCAATCCCATCTCATCCCATATATCCTAAATCAGAAGGAAAAGGCTTCACGTTACTGAGCTTCTTAGACCCTTGGTACCTTCATCTATAAAGTATAAATAGCAGTAATTTTCCTTATATGGTTCTTGTAGGAGTTACATGATCTAACTTATGTAAAGTGCTTAGCATAGTGCCTGGCACATAAGAGGTGCTTAATAAATGTCTTGCTCTCTCTCCCTGTAATTCCCCACCCCAATTATAAGCAACTTATTGAAAAGCCTGCCAAACTCTGATTTAAGGCCATATGATGCAATTTAGATGATTGTGTATCAGAGTTACCACTGTCAGTTCATATCTGGTCCCTGAGGAGGTCTCATTTTATGAGCCAGAGATATTTTCCTGTGCAGAGCAGATGGACCCTGACATCACTGTCCTCTTCATCCACCATGCCTCCACCAAATTTCATGCAATTATGCCCCATAACCCTGCAGAGGAACACATACCAGTGATGGTCACAACCACTGAGGAAACCATGAGCAAAACCTTGAAGCCAACCCATTACTCTTGCTCACAACAGAAGTAACTTTTTTCAACACTGGTGCAAGTATTATAGATAATGTTCACCGCACATATATTACAAGCTCTACCACTGTTGAAAAATAAGTATTCTGATTTGATCGTTTTGTTCAGAATAAAGAATCTTTTACAATATATTTTAGTTTCTAGTTATGCCATACAAAAATAAATATTGTATAAATGATTTACAAGGAAGAAGAAAAAATTGTAACTTGGGGTGCCAAAAATATAGGAAGGATGGTGGAATCTTTACTGTCTACTTCAAAAGCAACCAACTAAAAGAAATCAAAACTTCCCACTGGGTCTCCTTACTATTCTCACCACCACCCCATTGGTCTACTACTTTTCACCCTACAATATTATGTCTTCTTTCCCTATTAATCTCCAGACAATTTAATGTAGAACCTTCCCCCTAAAGACACTGGGGATTTGAAAGAGGAAGAATAGAGAGGGTTCTTGGGCAACATGACTTGCTGATGGAGGAAGATCTGGCTGGATTCTCACAATTAACTAGGACCAACCTAGTTCATTCTCCTTCCTTTCATTTTAAAGTCCTCTCTCTGCCTAAATCAGCTATGTCTGAATAGAACTCCATGACTGGAAGAGATGACCCCATCCTACTGCAGGACTCCTTGAACACCCATTGGTCAAAGTAGAACCAGGATCTCGTGGAGAACAACAAGGTGCCAAATCAAGCCCAATCTCCCCAACTAGAGGAAGGGACAAATAGCCACTTTACAGATGCCAGTTCTATAAATTAGGAAAAATCCTTCTCCAGTCCCCTCTCCCCAACAACAAACTTTTATGATTGCCTTTTTATCTTCCACACAGAGCAGAGGGAACATGATCCCCACCACTGGGGAAAGAATGCTAGAAAAATTAAATTGGACAATTTGCTCACTACTTTTCTAGGGACTCAGTAGGGATCTCCGAGGAAACAGTTCATTCATTTTGCAATTAAAGTTTTAAAATCTAAAGCTATAAGTGAGTTCATGATTATATTTAAACCAATGGTCCTTTAACTTTCTCTTGAAAACTCACAACTATTCATGTCGCATAACATCTCAGAGGGTCCCAAGACCTCCTGTGGCTCATGCAGATTCCAAGTTAAGAGCCCACATCTCAATAAATGCAGTACTATTTCTTGGAATGAAAACAAAGGTTTGTGGTATAGAACTCAATCTATTTTAGGGGCAGGCTGGCTTTGATGAGGCCTTGGACTTGAAGTGACTACACTGAAGCAATGCTCGTTCCTCATGGGAAGCGGGAATGCTGGCCAGGAAGACGTCCTTGAGTGCTGTGGTTTCACATGTGTACTGTTGGCAGGCCAATGACTCATGCAAGACTGTGGGCCCTCGAGATCCCCAAGGAGCGTTACTACACATTGAGCCGTTGAGCTGCTATAACGTGAGTCCCAGCCACACCCACAGGCAGGACACTATCACTGACACGCAGTGTGGCTGCCCATTTGTCTGATTTATGGGTGACGTGGTGGCAAATGTGGCATCAGTTTCATTTCGGGGGAGTGGCAGGTTACAGATATTTCCTTCACAACAGGAAGTGCAGACCTGGAGAAAAGAAAGAGAAGAAGAAGGGTGGTGAGAAGCTGGCAGGTCTTGGAAGGAGGTGGAGGTTTTTGAAGGAACTGTCTCCCTCACAGCAAGACTCAGAGGAGAATAACCTGTTCTACAAAGGAGACACCAGCTCTGCATTTCAGGGCTGGGATGAAATCTCGTCTGGAAGCAGTGTGGTCAAATGAAAGCCCCCAGCTAAGCTCCAAGGGACATGGGCTCTGCTTTTGACATCCACCTCATGGCTATTACAGTTTCGCACACCTCCTAGATCTTTGCTCTTCCCCCTCTGAAGTGGGGATTATAAATAATACTTACCTGCCTTTCCAAAGAGGCTCCTTCTGACCACTTGAGGAAACTGCTAAGAGAGCAACTTCCACTTGCCAGGTTTTAACAGAGAGTGCGAAGTGGCAGAAACCCAGATAATGTCAAATATTTACTTTCACTAGAACTGTCTGTGTCATGCTCTCCATGCTCATGGGTGAGCTAAGGTTTGAAGGTTTTTCATTTATTCAATTATTCCTGCTCTATACAGCTTTGCTTGTGGATCATGAGACACAAATAAATGCAAAGAATTACTGACAGAAGTTATTTTAGGTCATGGCTACTAAGTACAGGCCATGTACAGACCATTAGCAGTTTCAGCCATCAACTGGGAGTTAATTGGAGATGTAGAATCTCAAACTCACCCTGAACTTAGCAAACAAGAATCTGTATTTTAACAAGACCCCCAAGTGATCCACATGCACAGCCATGTCTGATCCATGTACACAGTAATGTCTGATCCATATACACAGTAATGTGTGAAGGCTCCGTGATGGGTAATATCCTACATTCATCACCCTGCACAGATTTCAGTCTGCTCACAGCTTGCAAGGGCTAGGGAGACGCTATGAAGTCAGGAGAGAAATGGGTCAGAAGTGAGTTGGAATTCTGTCTCTGTCACTTACTAGCTGTGCAACCTTAGAACATGATGTCACTTCTCTGATCTATAACTTCCTCCTCGGTGAAGCAGCCACGATAATGCCTGAGAACCAAGCCCAGCCGGCTAGGGGGTCAGGTAAAACCCTTGGGTTTACCTTCACATGTCAAACCAGGAGCAGATTACACTTTAACTCTTAGTGTGCTTGACAAGTCTCTTGCAAATTAACTATCTTCTGGAGAGAAAGAAGCACCCATGGACAGTACCATGGCCGGCTATCCGAGAGGGCGCTGCTCCCCACCCGCAGGAAAGCAGCCTGATGGGTGAAGTGGGAGGATTCCAAATAAAGGCCAAGGCCTGACATACATGCTCACTGTGCAGCCAGCTCTGAACGACCGGCAGGAGAGTCAGCGACAGTCCCCATTCCAACCGCCAGACTGGCGGCCTTTCTGATTCTTTATGTTCTCTTTCAAGGCTGCCCTCGAAGTTGGTTTTAAACTGAGTGCTTCGGTACAGGCCTCAGCTGAAGTTTCAGGGGGAAAACCCACAGAGAGATGGTTCTCTCAACCCCCAATAAAATGGCCCAGGAGCCAGTGGATACCTTCCCCAAATCAGCACCCCGCAAAGGGGCAAGCCCCACTTTACAGAAAGTTGTCAAAGCTAAGCTGCCTTGGCCACCCCCAGCTCAATGAGTTGTCGCTGCACCTGCAGTGCTTGGCCATGGGGACCTAACTGGTCCCTTGCTCCTGGAAGTTTTACTGCTTTCTTCTGAGTGAAGAAAGGGCTTAGGATGATTTCCAATACCCTCTGGGCGTTGTGTTTACATAATTTATCCTATACCCTGGTATAAGCCTTGATTCTTTTAGAGCGAGCAGGAAAGGAAGCGTTTTCTCCTAATCCTATAAAGACAGTCAACAGCCAGCTGCCATGGGAAGGAAGACTGCTCATGGGCACTGGCCGGCGTCTGAGGGGAGGGGGGCTGGCTCTGCTGTCAGGGCCACTCGCTTTGTTGCTCAGACCTTGTGGCCGGCATGCTCGGAGTCCCTGCAGCCAGTGGACAGGCACTCTTCCAGCGGGACGCAGCGTTTGGTGACAGAGATGCTGTTGCCCGTGACTTCCATTGTGTGCTGAGTGTAGCAGTATCTGGTCTCTGTCAACAACAAAAAGTATGTTTCAGTTGACATAGAAAGCGTGAGCCCAACCTGCCTGAAAGGGAAACAACAGGAGTGTCAGCCCTGTAAGTGCTAAAAGGATCTAACAGCACATGGGGTGTACACTGTGTGGGTTTATGGCCAATCCCAGAGGTGTCCTTGGAGATCCACCAAGCCCTGGTAGGAGGAGGTGGTCTCTGCCCATCGTAATCCCCATAAACCAAGGCCTAGTGGCATCAATCTATGCCTTTCAACACATTCACCACTGGATTGATTTTTATTTTTAGGAGAGGAGAGGTTTGGAGGGGTGATTAGGATGTGAGAGTCATAGCAATTTTCAGGGAGATGAAGGGGTGAAAAAGTTCAAAGAATGGGGTTAAAAGACAAGAACTTAGGCAGGTGAAAAGATTTTCAAGGGGATAAAAGACTATAGAAAAGACTGTGTGTGTGTGTGTGCACGCGATTGTCCACGAGTGTGTGTGTGTGCGAGCGCGTGTGTAAAACAGCTCTAACAGCTCTTCCTGAGTAAGGTCAGAAAGACGAAAAATAGATTCAGTGTATCTGGAGCAACGGACTTCATTCAAAAGAAAGAATTTCTTGCCTAGGAACACAGCTGGATCTTAGAATTCACTGTCGAAGACACTGACCCTATGAGGAAGCAGTCCCAAATTGAGGAGCCTTGTCTCCCCAGCATGAGTTCAGTGTTATTCCAGGGGGTAGGCAAAGAAAGGCCATAATGTGAGTTTCTAGAGGTCGAAGTCTTAAACGCCTGAAAACTGGAGATTTCAGTCAAAATTCCATGGAGAACTTTTTTTTTTAATTTGTAATTTAAAGTCTAAAGAAAAATGGCCTTGCCAATGTAATTCTTTAAGCCTCCAGGCGGTGTTCAGCTCACTAAGCCTGGGATTTAGCTGAATGTTCCTGTTCCACTTTCAGATTGAAAAAGAAAATGAGTAATTCTCAAGAAATGTCACCGAGCTGTTTTTCATCCACATCTTGGACCTAACTTTGCATACTTTATCCATTTTGGATATTTAGTGGCTAATATGGAATTATGACCTTCTATGATATTATTTATTAGGCAATAAAAATTCCCCCTACCAGATTCTGTCATAATGTTGGCAGCTTTTAACCGAAGTACTAATGCCCAAAGAAGAAAGCTGAATAATTTCAGGCTCTGAGAATGAGCTCATACAGAGCGCACTGACACATCCTGGGAGTCATGAAAATTCAGGGGTTTTAATAATCTCCCTAGATGTCCGCACCTGCCAGGAACCTGAGTGGCCTCCGTCCGACTGAGTCTTGCTAAGGGCACCNCCTGCCAGGAACCTGAGTGGCCTCCGTCCGACTGAGTCTTGCTAAGGACACTGACTTTCCCAATGGTTACACTCTTGGTGGGTGTATGTGGGCTGAATCTGTGTCTGTGCCATCCCCCAAATGCTGTCCCCACACTGCACCCTGCCCAGAATTTTGTCAGCTGGAATCAGGTCACAAGGCAGACCTACGCTGCTCGTGATCCTAGAGAGTGGGGTCAGTTAGGTCACCTTATGAGCTCATAAGAAAAGTTGAAAGCCCATAATATTTTTAAATTGCCGTGATGGTTTTTCTGATGAAGAGGAGGTGGCAGCTGTCCCCTGATTTTTTTTTTAAGCANAAATTGCCGTGATGGTTTTTCTGATGAAGAGGAGGTGGCAGCTGTCCCCTTATTTTTTTTTTTAAGCTNAATTGCCGTGATGGTTTTTCTGATGAAGAGGAGGTGGCAGCTGTCCCCTGATTTTTTTTTTAAGCATCTGACAGGTTTTAACATACGGAGGGCCATGACCTGAGAGATTTACCGTTTTTTCCAAAGAGGACTGGTTTACTTCTCTGGCATCAGACTTGGTCACTTATGGCCCTGATAGGTAAACCTTTCCCATCCCCACCCCAACTTCAGATGTTCAAGACAGCCATAGGAAAGGAATGTTCTTATCTTGGTCTCCTCTATGTGCAGACAACCAGGAGCAGCTGCCAGAGGTTTTATTGCTCCAAATGTAAATCTCAGCCCATAAGATCACACAGTTATGGAACAAGTAAATCATCACATGGTATCAATTCTGGAAACTACATTTGTCCCTCAAATAGTGAATTATTTTGTTTTAACTAAGCCTGAGAAGAACAACTAGTGAACATGATATAACTACCTTTTGTTCATACTTTTCAATCCATAACAAACTCTCTTTTAATTTATTGATTGGAAGCTTATTCCACTGAATGAAAGTAGAGACAACCACCAATGAACCTTTCTTTTTTTTTTTTTTTCCTTCGGGAAAATATGAGAAAGCCCCGTGCCTAATAAGCCAATTCTTGCCATTCTTGGAAGAGAAGGATGATCAGTGATGAAGCTGGATGAGAATTGTTCCTCACACTTACCAAGTCCAATCCACAACGCAAAGATATATTGAGAATAGTTTATTACTTCCAGCAGAAGACTTTAGATCTGAAGCATCAATCCCTTAAAAGTATCCGTTCCACTTCTTATCTCACAAAAAAACCCTTAGGTGAGTTATAAAATGTTAAGGTAGAAAAAGGTTCTGTGGTTAAATAAGTTTGAGAAATGCTCAAATAAAGTTGAACAGGTTTCTTCAGCACACAATTTATGAGAGCCCTGAGTTTGCGCTTTATGTTCAAGGGGGGTGGGGGTAGGGCAGGCAGAATTTCCCGAGCAGAACGGGGTGGACCACATGTGGCTTATCCCTGGACTGAAGAACTGATAAAAAACGAGTTTCAGCCACAGAGCTTTGCTCTCCATGCACTGAGAATAATCCTTGGGTTAGTAATGAGGTTATATGAGAATCAAGCCTGCTGATAACTTCACACTAAAAGGATTTCAAAGGCTTTTATCCAAAAGATAAAAGATGGATTTGAATTTCTACCAAGTTAGTCTGGGCCTCTAAAAATCTCATATTCTGCACTGCATGGTATTCCCAGAGGTTGTGAAACAAAAGTCTTTTACTGTGAGATTCACAGGCATTCAAGCAAAATCAGAACTGAGTAAGAAAGCTTAATCAACTATTGGACGGCACAAAATATAATTTTCACAAAATTCACACATATATACACACATTCCCTAACCTAGCTCTGAAAATTAAAAAGTCCAAAGTGAAAATGTAAATTTCCACTTACTCATCAACATTCAGTTTCCAATAACAGAAACTGTATGTAAATAAAATAGACATAAAATGATCTGAATTAAAATGAGATGTTAAAAGTGACCAAGTCTCCAGTAAAAGGCCTTCTCACCGTGCAGTAGTAACTCTGTGTGGCTCCGCTAGTTTTGGTTTCTTGACAAACACATGTAATTATGAAAGTGATGCTAGAGAACAATTCACCAGTTGCAAGAAATGTAATGGGAGGAACATAACGTGAATCACAATATTACCAAATATATTGGAAAATAAAGGCTAGTAGCACCTGCCGCCCACTCCTACCCGATTCTTTCTGTGCATGAAACCCTCACATCCCACATGCTCCCTCCTGGTCTCCCTTTGCAGGGACGGTCCACGTGAGTGTTCAATTCGATACTTTTCTCCTCTGTCTGATCCTGCAGAATTTCTGTGAGGTTCCAAGTCCTGCCATGAATAATCTCTTCTGCGATTCCTCGCCCTACACTTCAGCACTTTGTCTTCTAGGTTTTCTCCGGCATCTCTGTTCTCTTTACTTCTAACTTGCCCTAACCTGAGTGTCGCTGCTCTACCAAGTTAAGTTCTGGAAGCTCCTCTCAAGTAGCCTCATCCAACATCAAACGATGTATCTTCTGTCTGACCCTGTCTCCTGGGCTATAGAACCAAATTTCTAACTAGTTCCTGGAAATCACCAGCAGCACCTCGCACGTCTCAAACCAGTCACATCACTGCTGCCATCCCCCTTGGATCTGTTTATCTTCCTGCGTTTCTACTTCAGGAAGGGACATCCTGAGAAGTGGCACCTCTACCTTGCACTAGAAACTTCAGAATCAGCTCAGGGTTCTCTTGCCAAACTGGGTGTCTCCAAGTCCTCTGAAATGTCACCATTATCCGTCTATTCTTTTCTGTGCCATTTTCCATTTCCCCCAATTCAGGACCTTGTTCATTTCCAGTCTTCTTTGTCCCCGATCTCTCTCCTTTCTAAAGCAGGTGCCAGACAACCAACCACCAGATAGATTACTGAAACCAAGGTCAGAACGTGCCACTCACTGCCTATGAAGGCGTGGCTAACACTTAAAATCAAGAGTCACACCTAAGTGTCAAGGAGCCCTGACTGCTTACCGCTAGGTTTACTTGGCTACTCCGTTGACTCTCTCTGCCCTTGGATCTTTTTGTCAAGAGTAGAGGAGTAACTGTGCTTCACTCCTGGACGCATCAATTACATTTATAACTCCGAGCTTGGCACCTGAAACTCAGCACCTATTATTACTCAAGAAGCGCAGTGACTCCTTGATCTAGGCCCAGACCACCTCACCATTGCCTGCGTGGTACCTTGAGACACCATGACGCAATTTTTGACCATTCTGACAACAAAACATTTTTTCCTATCTTCTGCTCCTAGAAACCTGATGTTTTTCGAGGCTCAAACCAAATGACATGAATTCTGTGAAACCTTCCTTGATTTTCCTCCCAACCAGGCTCACAGCCCTTCCTTAGCTTCCTGGGTTGGTCTGTCTGTCTTTCCTCCTAGATTACGGTTTCTCAACATTGGCACACTAGCATGTGTTTTTTTACAGGTTGATTTTGTTTGTTTTTTAATTAAACTTCAGATTTTGAGATAATTGTAGATTCACATGTATTTGGAAGAAGTAGTGCAGAGTGATCTCATGTGCCCTTCATTCAGTTTTCCCCAATGGCACCATGCTCAACCAACTGGCCACCCCAACCAGGCGTGTTTAGTTGTTTGAGAAGCTGCCCTACCGTCCCCGAGAGCGGCTGTTCTGTATACACTCCCACCAGCAATGTATTAGCCATCTGGTTTCTTCTCATTCTTACCA